TATTAAGACTTAAAGAGCATCATGCAGTCTGTAATATATCTCTGTAGTAAGAAAAAACATCATACTCAAAATAATATTGTGTTCTCAAGTACAGAGGTTAACATTTTCAGTCTGACAGGTGTGAAAGGGAAAAAAACAGCTCTCTAAATGTGTTACTGTCTACTTCAGCCTGGACCCAGGAAGTCCTATCGAGGTTAAACCTGTCCTAATTTGACATTTATGCACCAGCGCAGCTGACTTATTAACTCACCTGTGCTAAAACAGGAATATCATACAATTCTGCCCCTGTGGGTCTTTAGGAAGTTAGGAGAATGCAGCTTTGGTATAAGAGAAGGATCAAGATCGCGTAGGTCTCTAGGCAGATTGCCAGTTTGTGACCCCCCTTCATTCTTCTCAAAGCGATGGGGGCAGGAAAATTCATGGTTCTGAGACCCCTGTCTAATCCCTGGGTTTTAGGCAACTTCATCATTAGTTATTAAGATATCTTCTAGAAATGATCCCACTTCTAATTTGCAGTTTATTGGTTTTTTTTATTGGTTTTTTTTTATTATAACTGCTCCACAATATCTAAATCTGTGATTATTCACTTTCAGTTGTCTGAATATCAATTAAAACTATATTTCCCAGGTGGGGGGGATTGAGGAGATTAAGCAATATTAGGAGGTTTGTTCCTGGCTTCAATCACATAAAAAAAAAAATAATAATAATATTTATAAACTTGCATCTGGAGTGTCATGGTTAGCATTCGCTTTCCGAGAAAAATGCCTATTTTTGTGCTTTGTATCTCCTTAAAGGGATACTTTAGTTAGCGGAACCACTACAGCATAATGTAGTGGGTTTTTTTTGTGTGTCTATAGCATGTCCCTGCAGGCTTTTCAATGTAAACACTGCCTTTTCAGAGTGTTTAAATTGCTGTATAATAACACCTCTTGTGACAGTCACTCAGATGGCCACTAGAGCTGGTTCCTAGTCCTGTGATTCAATGGTTCAGCACTTCATTTTGCTGCTCGTGCAATCATTGGATTGGATTGGCTGAGATCGTCAAAATTGGCAATGAGGCGGAGGCAGCCGCAATCACCTTTTCAGCATGATCAGAGTGAGGCCGGTGACCTAAACAGCCACACCAGCACTATAGTGTCAGGAATACATGTTTGTATTCCTTATACTCTTGTGTTCCTTTCATTAACATCCCTGGCATTTGGCATGGCAGAGTTTGGTTGAAACCTAAAGGGACACTCTAAGTACCATAACTGACACAGCTTATTGTATTGAGTATGATGTAGTATTTTTTGGGGCACCCCCAAGACCTTTCCCCATTTTTATTTTTTTTATGATTTCCATGCAAACGTGGGCCTCCACCAACAACCAAAGCCTTGAACCTTAGCGTCGAACACAATAATGCAGACATTTTAGTGCTGCATTATTTGCACCATCTTGGACAACAGTGATAGGCTGCAAGCGCTGATGGTAGCTTAACTTTATACATAGACACACACACAAGGAAATATGTACAGACATGGACATGAAAATAAGCAAATATACACAAACACACATGCACCAAGATATGCATATACTGGCCTGACCAAGATTTATGTGAGCAGCTGCTCTTTGCAGCAGTCACTATTACTTCAGTAATGCTGGTGAAGGTACTAGGAAGAGAGAGAGAAACTTTATAGACCCTAATCTGGCATTAAAGGAACACTATAGGTTCAAGAACACAAACATGCATTCCTACAGTGTAAAAACCATCATCTAGCCCCCCTGATCACCTAAATATAGTAAAGTCTTAATTCTACCTAAGTCTGCATCTGCTGCTTCTGGCCCTGATCTGCTTGCTTGACTGACATCATCAGAAGTGGTGTTCTGAGTCAAACACAATGCTTTCACATATTATTGACTGAGACTGTCAAGGAGGCAGATCACGGACAGAGCCAGCACAAGCCAATCAGCATCTCAATGAATCTCTATGAGGAAAGTTCAGTGTCTCCATACAGAGGTTGGAGACCCTGAATAGCAGCACTGCACACTGTGCAGCACTGCCCCAGGAAGCACCTCTAGGAGCCACTTGAGGAGTGGCCAGTGGAATTATCCCAAGTATAGGCAACCTTTGGCACTCCAGATGTTATGGACTACATACCCCATAATGCTCTTACACCTATAATGCTGGCAAAGGATCATAGTAGGTGTAGTTCAAAACATCTGGAGTGCCGAAGGTTGCCTGTGCCTGATGGCCTAGGCTGTAATGTAAACATTGCATTTTCTCTAAAAACACAGTGTTAACTGCAAAAAAAGCCTGAAGGTAATGATTCTACTCACCAGAACAAATACAATAAGCTGTAGTTGTGCTGGCGACTATAGTGTCTCTTTAATGACAGCGTCTGTATATAGCACATTCTACCTGGAAGTGTTTCTCCCATCAATTTTGGACAGGCTGGGGCAAAGTGCGAAAAGTGGAGAAGTCACCATGGAAACCAATGCAATATTGCAGCTCATTAGTCTACTTTTAGTACATTGCTCCAGAATTGCACTTTTTATAGCATCATTCCAGACACAAGAGTAAAGGATGTTGCAGAGTTTTGACCATTTCTTCAGGCTATGGAAGTTGTAAAATAGATGAACACGAAACATTTCAAGCCTAATTAATGCGGTCCAGAGGTGCGGATTTATGCAATTTCCATAAAATAGGGAGAAATGTGGATTTCAAGGGACCTAATTAGGTTCACTCAACCTTGGTGCAGCCTCAATTTAAAGATGCCAATTTAATCATGTATGTATAATAAATGTATGATATCGCCAGATATTTGTCGATTGGGTGAATAAGTCTGGTACTGCCTGATATTATCAAATGGCAGCCAGTAGCATTTTCAATGCCTGATGTTCAGGTGCCACATATCACAAGCCAGTCTGAGCTATTGTGCTTCCTCTGGCGCTGTCAGAGTTAACACAATGTACTGTAGTATTTTTAGGTAGCCATGTACATAGACTGTAATCTAGATATGGACAGTATCTGTCCCCTTGGAGGCATTTTACATATTTGTATATCTAAGTTAGATGTATGTTAGTAGATCACTTGTCCCAGTGATAAGTAATACTCATTTTGTGTACGTTGTGACTTGCGGTGTGTATTCAGCAAATAATTACATTGTATCCATTCACCATTACACCAATAACCAATTCGTAGTAAAATATTCTAGCTCTAGAACCTCACCTAAATTAGAACGATTCACAGGTTATTCACGAATATGTTGCAATATTTAAACCTTAAGTCTTCGTTTTCATGTTTTTTCTAACGTGTCCATTTTTGGTATATATTGTGTGACTTCATTGTCAACTGTCAGCCACCCGGTAGAAGGTAAATTATCAGGGTTTAAATTACATAAAACTCATGGTGATGCATCATACCTACTAAATGCCAGGTTACTGTGCGATTTATATTTACCTGTTTACACTGTGGTTGGCAGGTAACAGGAATCGGACAAACAGAGTAATTCACTAAACACAGAATTTTAGCAAATTAAATCCAAATGGCAGAACTGTGGCTAATGTAGCCATACTAACTAAAACAGTGTTGAAGAATGTTTACAAATAAGTTATGGTTATCTTAATCTTGCAAATAACTAAAATTCACAGTTTAGTGGGTAACCCTGAAACTGTTAATGAACTACAATTCCCTCTACAAGCATACGAACATAGTAAGGTGCTGGTCCTTCATTGTCATAATTCCCACAGTGTTTTGCCAGCCTAATATAACTTATCGAAGGCTGAAATGCTGTGTATATTCTACACTTGGTATATCAGAAAAGAAAAAAATTTGAAAAAAAAAATATTTATATTTTAAAAAAAATGGAATGTTGCAAATGTATTTCCCTTAAGCTAGCTTTTACATCACGTGTCGGAGAACTATTTTAGACACCGATGATAGTTAAAATAACTGATTGATTTATGACCCAAATGGTTCAAAGAAAGGGGCGTCACAGACAGAGTTACGATATGTGATTTATTACATGCTGAGATCCTCTGTGCAGTATTTTCCTGGTTTGAGTCTATACTACATTCTTATATATTTGGTGTTTGTTGTATATAATGCATTATCTGCTGGCTTTTCCTATTGCTGCTGTTATTAAACACATTACATTGTTAAATAAACACAAAGTATTCAAAGTATTGAACTTTGCTAATTTGTATTATTATACCACAAATGTGCATGACAAAGAATGTATAAGCTAGTTTGATACGTAACGTTACATGAATTAATAAAGCATTAAATAACCGTACATTATGTTGAGCAAATGGTTTCTTTTTGGAGGGAGTTTTTGTTTTGTTTAGTTAAAAGGACACTATAGGATCAGAAACACAAAAGCATTCCTGACCCTATATTGTTAAAACCACCAACTAGCACCCCCCTCCCCCCACCTCCCTAACTATAGTAAAATCTTACTTGTATTCAAGTCTGTAGCTGCTGCCTTTTGACCATCAGAAGTGGTGGTCTGAGCCAATCACAATGCTTCCCCATAGGACTGGCTGAAACTGCAATGGAGGCAGATCAGGGGTAGAGCCAGCACAAGTCAAACACAGCCCTGGCCAAACAGCATCTCTTTACAGAGATTAATTGAATCAATGCATCTCTATGAGGTTCAGTGTCTGCATGCAAAAGGTGGAGAAACTGAATGGCAGTACTGCACACTGTGCAGCACTACCCCAGGAAGCACCTCTAGCAGCCATCTGAGGTGTGGCCAGTGGAGTTATCACTAGGCTTTAATGTAAACACTGCATTTCCTCTGAAAAGACAGTGTATACTGCAAAAAGCCTGAAGGGACTGATTATATTCACCAGAACAAACACAATAAGCTGTAGTTCTGGTGACTATAGTGTCCCTTTAATTTATCAGCATTATTTAAACTGTCTAAGTATTACATTTTCACACATCCCATTAAAAACATTAGCAGAGAGATTGATAGTATAATTTTATTTTTTCAGGTATAACAAATCAAACCTTGATACAACGACTCACCACATTGAATACAGCATTGAGCTATACATCAAACATAACAGATATAAGTCCATTGTTACAATGCAGTATGAGCAGCCAGGGAGTCCTTGGTTTAGAATTAGGGATTTAGAATGGGATCAAGATTATATTTTTCACTTTCCAAAGATATACGTACGGGGTATTGTTGCTGAGCTAAGAACAGCTAAGATAATTTTATTACAGTGGGACACACACAAAAACTAAGCATTAAAAGTACTATATGTATGTAAAGACTTTAAAATGAAAATGAATAGTACAAACTTTGAAAAAAAATTGAAAAAAATGGCACCTCAATAAAGCTCAAAATACACTGCTCAAAAAAATAAAGGGAACACTTAAACAGCACAATGTAACTCCAAGTCAATCACACTTCTGTGAAATCAAACTGTCTATTTAGGAAGCAACACTGAGTGACAATCAATTTCACATGCTGTTGTGCAAATGGGATAGACAACAGGTGGAAATTATAGGCAATTAGCAAGACACCCCCAATAAAGGAGTGGTTCTGCCGGTGGTGACCACAGACCACTTATCAGTTCCTATGCTTCCTGGCTGATGTTTTGGTCACATGTGAATGCTGGCGGTGCTTTCACTCTAGTGGTAGTATGAGACGGAGTCTACAACCCACACAAGTGGCTCAGGTAGTGCAGCTCATCCAGGATGGCACATCAATGCGAGCTGTGGCAAGAAGGTTTGCTGTGTCTGTCAGCGTAGTGTCCAGACCATGGAGGCGCTACCAGGAGACAGGCCAGTACATCAGGAGACGTGGAGGAGGCCGTAGGAGGGAAACAACCCAGCAGCAGGACCGCTACCTCCGCCTTTGTGCAAGGAGGAACAGGAGGAGCACTTCCAGAGTCCTGCAAAATGACCTCCAGCAGGCCACGAATGTGCATGTGTCTGCTCAAACGGTCAGAAACAGACTCCATGAGGGTGGTATGAGGGCCCGACGTCCACAGGTGGGGGTTATGCTTACAGCCCAACACCGTGTAGGACGTGTGGCATTTCCCAGAGAACACCAAGATTGTCAAATTCGCCACTGGCGCCCTGTGCTCTTCACAGAAGAAAGCAGGTTCACACTGAGCACATGTGACAGACGTCACAGAGTCTGGAGACACCGTGGAGAACGTTCTACTGCCTGCAACATCCTCCAGCATGGCGGGTTTGGCAGTGGGTCAGTAATAGTGTTGGGTGGCATTTCTTTGGGGGGCCGCACAGCCCTCCATGTGCTTGCCATAGGTAGCCTGACTGCCATTAGGTACCAAGATGAGATCCTCAGACCGCTTGTGAGACCATATGCTGGTGTGGGCCCTGGGTTCCTCCTAATGCAAGACAATACTAGACCTCATGTGGCTGGAGTGTGTCAGCAGTTCTGCAAGACAAAGGCATTGATGCTATGGACTGGCCCGCCCGTTCCCCAGACCTGAATCCAATTGATCACATCTGGGATATCATATCTCGCTCCATCCACCAACGTCACGTTGCACCACAGACTGTCCAGGAGTTGGCAGATGCTTTAGTCCAGGTCTGGGAGGAGATCCCTCAGGAGACCATCCGCCACCTCATCAGGAGCATGCACAGGCATTGTAGGGAGGTCACACACATTACTGAGCCTCATTTTGACTTGTTTTAAGGACATTACATCAAAGTTGGAAAATTTGATTTCCATTTTTAAATTTTTGTGTGATTTTATTGTCAGCACATTCAACTATGTAAAGAACAAAGTATTTCAGAATATTTAATTAATTCAGATCTAGGATGTGTTATTTTTGTGTTCTCTTTATTATTTTGAGCAGTGTATATTATGTGAGAGTTCCATTGCTGCCCACTTTTGCAAGTAGCATGTATTTATGGCATAATTTAAATATATGAGCTACTAAAATGTGCAAAATAAAACATCTTCAATTTGCCATTTTTTTCAGAATCTGTCCTGGACAGAATATAATTTCAGTCCTGTACTTTCACAAAAACCTGGCAAAGGTATGCAGAGACGGTCATTTGCTCAGGAGATATCGCTGAGCATAATTTAGTGATTGTTATTACAGTAGCTTATATAAAGTTTACAAAATAAACCGCTAAAATGCTGTGTTCAAAAATGCAAAAATAACACAATACAATAAAATTTTACAAAAAAATTGGTGCTAAAATGGCCATATAATAAGGTTAAAAAAATACCATGTGACTCCCCGGGGTATCTACTTTCCTGTAATTAAATGCAAGACTTCTGAAGCTGCGTCCTTAAGGGGTTAAATAATCGTGCATAGATTGTGAATGATGAACCAACTATTCAGCCTCTTTGGAACTCTGGAAGTTGCCTCTTGTTCCTTTTGACAATTCACATATCAAGGTACTAATAGCCACAGGCTAAAAACCATGGTTGTAAGCTCGTCTGAACAGAACCTTCTTCACCTCTTGTCTGTCAACATTATTTGTGTATGTCAATTGCTTAAAGTTAAATATTGTCATTGGATAATTGTAAAACGCTATATAAATACTAATATTAATTATAACCAGAAAACATGTTTATACCTGTCCTATCAAGTTAAACATTGAAAATAATGTCGGCAACACGAAACAGTGCACTTCAAAATAACCAAAAGAGATGCATTACTCTAAACAGATTGTAATATCTTACAGCCAGTGTTTTAGCCCTATTGCCGTCTTGTGAAAATTCATGTATTGGGATTGAAACATTGACTGTATGCTATTGTACATCTGATTAAGATAATCATTTATTTGGTTAATTATTATCTTTAGATATGCGATACTGTACGGCCAGAGTCTGATACCAGGTTAAGAAAAGCTGGAAGACAGGCAAAGTTATTCACTAAACTAAGAATGTTTATCTGAATTGTACAATTTAGACCAAAACAGTCAATCTGTCACTGTAGATGCTTCCAAATCAGCTGCTTTAGCCTAAATAATGCCATGTGGATTTTCACTTCATACATTTCAAAGTTTAGTGAATAACCTGTGACGAATCTGCAGCTCTAATTACATTTTATTAATGTGTATGTGATGTTTATTTTGCACGATGCATTTCTGATAAAGGACCACTATAGGCACCCAGACCAATTCAGCTTAATGAAGTGGTCTGGGTGCCAGGTCCAGCTAGGATTAACCCCTTTTTTAATAAACATAGCAGTTTCAGAGAAACTGCTATGTTTATAATAGGGTTAATCCAGCCTCCAACTCCTCTAGTGGCTGTCTCATTGACAAGCGTCCATAGGAAAGCATTGTAAATGCTTTCCTATGAGACCGGCTGAATGCGCGCGCAGCTCCTGCCGCGCGTGCACATTCAGCCGAAGGGGAGGAGAGGAGGAGGAGAGCTCCCCGCTCGGCCCTGGAAAAAAAGGTAAGTTTTAACCCTTTCCTCTCCCCAGAGCAGGGCGGGAGGGGGAACCTGAGGGTGGTGGCACCCTCAGGGCACTATAGTGCCAGGAAAACGAGTATGTTTTCCTGGCACTATAGTGGTCCTTTAATGTATGTATGTTATATCCATGTCTGTGTATATATTATAAACATATAACCATATTTTTAAAAGTATGCCTATAATATAGACATATAAATATAATGTACATAAATATACAAATGTATAATACAGTCAGAAATACTATTTACATTTCTGATGTTCACTGACATACAGTTTCACTTACCCATACATACAAACACACACACACACACAGGTACACACACTGACACAAATGAAATGACGCACAAAGACATTCACTCATTGATACACTCTGGGACACAGTGACTCATACACACACTGGCACACACAATCACTGATGCACAATCACTCACACTGGCACTTACAAATCCATTTATACACGCTCACATACACTACACTATCAGCACACACACTGGCAAATCAACACAGTGACTCTTACACTCATACACACACACTTACAGACATACATATAGTGACCAATGTCTACTTTACAAAGGTCACACTGAGTGACTGAAACGTTGTCACAAGTGCTATAATGTCCCATTACAGTCTGCTACCAAAAGAATCTTGATTGCCTGGATTCTTTACTGATTTCTACTAAGTGATATTGGGGATCTGGCCTCCCCAACAGTCTGGACTACATTTTTTGCTGATGAAAAATGAATTCTAACTCGAGTGCAGTCTCTCCTCTGTGTCCTCTTATTGTCATTATGTATCACAGCAGGCTGTGGCTCTCTGTATAGTACAGAATATGTGCTGCTCCTCGCATCTCTCAACAGCCAACCCGCCAGCTCCAGGTTAAAGCAGCCAGTCCGACGCTTATCGCAACACTTACAGCTATTTGGCCGTCAACCTAATATGACTCACCTCTGCATTTGTAGCTGTGATTTGGGCACCTTGTTTTAAAACTCCTTTATTGTTTCAATTCCTTTTTGTTTTTTATTTCCCCCACTACATTTAACGATGCACACAGATGAGGGTTTTATTCTTTGACTTTCTAAAAATATGATCGGTATAAACATCTGGCTGAGTTGTATGATATAAACATGTAACGTGAATTGCATGTTACTGCATGATACCGCCTGTAGCTCTTTATTACCAGATACGTTTCACTCACCTGGATTCCAAATATCACCCAGATATCAACCTAATGTGACAGCACATACAGCTGTGAGAAATAAATCAGCTATTATTTATTACACAAGTGGGAGTTAGGGTGGGAAGAAGCACAAGTGGGGATGGGACGGGGAGAAAGTGAGAGATTAGCAAAGGAGAGGCACAAGTTGGGAATTAAACTCTGTGTGTTTATTGTCATTATGATTTCCAGCAGGCTTTGGCTCTGTGTATAGTGTGAGGAGCGACTGGTTTCCTGCTGCTCCTGGCACCTCTCAGTCCCCTAAGCTCATCCAGCAGCCATCCCGCCAGCCCCAGGTTAAAGCAGCCAGTCAGGTGCTTATCCCAACAAATATAGCTACTTGGTCGTCAGCCTAATGTGATTCACCTCTGCAACCTGCATTTGTAGCTGTGATTTGGGCACCTCATTTTAAAAAAAAATTATTATTTTTTTACAATTTCCCAATTTCTTTATTTTCCCCCACTATGTTTCACGATGCACACAGACTAGGGTTTTATGCTTTGCCTTTTTTGATATTTTGTTTTTTAAAAAACATGATCTGTACTCATAAGAGTCAAAGAAACCAGTACCATGACCCCCCTCCTTAACTCTCCCCCTCCCCTTTTTACAACCTCCCCCCCTTTTTTTTCAGAAATGGCTTAGGCTCTAACGTATCTAACATGTCTTGCTGTGCCAGAGGTGGAAGAACAATACACCTGTCTGGGGGCAGTGAAGCAATATTGGGCTTCCATAGTCATTGTGCATGATACAGAAGTAAAAGTATATGCTGGGCAGGGGCATGTGTCACAGCTTGATAAATCCAACGGTATAATGGGAGTGTACAAATGGAACGTTTATATTGATCAGTTTATGTACGAATTTGAATATGGTTGCATGTGTCCAAGAGTATGACTATGTACATGTGTCCGGGATGTTTTTTCATCCCTAGGTAAGGTTCTACATTGTTTTTGATTATCTCAAAAAACTGACTACTAGAGGCCAGTGGGGACATTTCGCAATTCACAATGTAATTTCCTGACTGTGCAAATATAAATATAATGTAGAATGGAATATGTCATGCATGCACTTAAGATGGTTTGTTGTCTCACGCCTTTGTTTGTCTTTTCTTATAAATTAAGATTGGGGGGAAAAAACATAATCTGTATAAATGGATCATATAAACATCTGGCTGAGTTGTATGATATAAATATGTAAGGTGAATTGCATGTTACTGCATGATACCGCCTGTAGCTCCTTATCACCAGATACGTTTCACTCATCTGGATTCCTGGATTGCAAATATCACCCAGATATCAACCTCATTATGTCAGCACACACGGCTGTGAGACATAAATCAGCTATTATTTATTACAGTATCTTCAGTTAGGATAATATAAATCTCTTTAGGATTCTTGAAGGAGGGAGGGCCTGGTTCTAACAAGGGACAGGTGCACTCTAGTGCTAGGAATATAGGAATATAGTTTTTTTTCCAAATGCTAAGTTCATAGCACTGTGCCGTCAGTCCTCGTATTTGTAAGTTAGATTATTATAGCAAAATAGAATATTACAGCAATGTCTACATTTTACACTGTAGATGTTTATGAATTGCAGTTCCCATTACGCTTGGCTAGCCTGATTAATTTTCTAAAATACAGAAACTTCTAAATGAATCAGGAGTTCATAGATTGTATTCTGGGTGGAGCAGGTCCTCCTTTACCTCTTTAATTCTACATGCAAATAATAATAATAAGTAAAAAATGGAAATTAGGTGCTCACTATAATAAAGGTGGACCAGGCAGCAATAACCTAGAGTAAACCTAAAATAAAAGATACGGTAACTGCCCTGTGTATAAAAAGTAAAGTAGTTGATATAAATAAAGTATTACTATCCTTTAGTGCAATATTCAAAAATACAGTACATACTGTGTGTGTATATAGGGGTTCTTTGATAAGCCACAGGAATCTCAAAAGGAAATATATATATAAAGAGATAGGCTTGCAATATAGCCAATTTAATAAAGTACATATAAGGTGTATATGAGAAATAACTCACACTTCTAGGAGCTACTAAGAACTCACACTTCTAGGAGCTACTAAGAACTCACACTTCTAGGAGCTACTAAGAGCTCAGCTGAAATCCCATCTAAAGAGATATATATATACACATATATATATATAAATAATTCCTGTCCTAATGTGTTTTACACCCCACCTCCTATAGAATGTAAGCTCGATTGAGCAGGGTCCTCTTCAACCTATTGTGCCCGTAAGTTTTTAGTTTTTTTGTAATTGTCCTATTTATAGTTAAATCCCCCTCTCATAATATTGTAAAGTGCAACGGAATCTGTTGGCACTATATAAATGGCAATAATAATAATAATAATAATAATAATAATATATGCTGGTCAATGGTGAGTGGTCTCCACTTCCAATTGCAATGTGATATGTAAATACACAAAACAGGACATCAAATGGTGCAATACCAAAATATAAAAAAAATGAGTAATAAATACTCTAGAATAAATATTCTACTTGAACTTTTATGAGCAATAAAACCCGCTCTGGTGGTATAAGGTATTGGTGGTATAACCAGGAACCAGGTATGCAGGAACCAGGAACCCAGTGGATGGACAGACGATATTTATTCAAGATAATGTGAAGAAATAAACTTTGTTTGTATTAAAGCAATAACTAAAAACAAAATACTCAAAATAAGACTACAAATCACAACTAACACTTTTCACCTTGATTTCATCAGAAGTGTGCTTGGTCCATAATGAGTACAGGTATACATAAGCAGTCGAATATCCATTAATGTAGTCCTGTTAGCTTCCTGTAGGCCTTCTGATTTGGGCGTTACACAGAAGTGGTATCATATAGGATGTGGGCGCTGCCAATATTGCGTGCTGATAATTCCTTTGCCCTCAGTTTGGCGAGCGTCATACTGGAAGCACCCACATCCTATGTCCTATATGTATGTGTTTTTGTATATTGCACTAAAAAGTTGTAAAACTCAATTTATATCACCTACTTTACCATTTATACAAGGCGCCGTTAGCTTATCTTTTGTTTTGGGTTTACTATAATAATAAGCGTAGTTTAGAAAAATTATTTAAAGCTCCTCCCACTACGCAGAGTGCAATGCTATTGGCACACACAGAGCCTTGTCAATGTCAGCTCTTTGACACAGGAGGAATTCTTCCTCATTTGTCTTTTAACTAGGCAACAGAGTACTGCAAACAGTCATTGGTTCAATGTCAAAGCCAGACTGTTAATCATTCCGGCTGAGCTGGCTGGCGTCAAGTTCAGAGTTTGCAGGTCAGTTTGTCTGCAAACTCTTGATTTATTGACATGGCAATCGGGAAGCAGTGTGTAGGGGACTGTGTAACAGTAGTGCTTTATCTACATCAGGCAGCTGAGGAGGTAGCAAGCAGCTGTCGCAAGAACAATTAACTATTCCCTTGCTGTCCCCTGCACACTGCTTGAAGAGATAGCCTATTAGTAGGCCCTAAAGGACCTAAAGCCCACCCCAAGTGACGTCTATGTTCACAATATGCTCTACGCAGATAACCATCAAGATCAAAAAATAAATTGTCTGCAAAAATCATGAATGCAGGTACTTAAATCATTGTGTGGCTTCATCATGATGGTTTAAATACCTCTGCATTTATTGTAGGTGATTCATAGTATGTGCACCATTTACAAGTGGAGAATTAGGAAGGGAACGGCATTCCAAGGAGAAAGAAACATAAGTGTTGGATTGGGGAGGTGAAGCACAAATAGGGAGTTAGGGGGAAGAAACACAAGTCTGGAATTAGGGAACAGCAACACACGTTAAAGTGATTGGGTTGAGCAAAATTAGACCCCCCTTGATGCCATGTATATTATATTTCACTAACGAGGGGCCCAGGGCCTGATTAGCTGTCCCAGATTGCTGTCAGTCTAAATGGAAAGGTCAGTCTTAAAAATACCTATGAATTTTAATGGCATTTCAATAAAGAAAAAAACAAAATTACCACATTTACAAAAAAATTTATTTAAAACCATGGATGAATAAGTAGAATATATTCATATTCGAAAATCTCAATGTATTTATGTACATTTATAGAATTTAAATGTTTAATTCTTATGTTTATCAGAAATGCTGGTTCTGAAATAGTGTAGAAGCACACAAACCGCTTTTTTTAAATTTTATTTTAATTCTTTGTTTTTGGTGCGCAGATAATACACATAACAAGCTTGCGTCGCCACAATAGTGGAGCAAACCATGCATTTTCAGACAATGTATAACAGTGGTATGGCATTTACATAACATGCACACATTTTTGTTTTAATTGAGTATAACTTGCTAGTCAGGTACGTCTAAAAAAAAAACAACTTAAATTAAGTTTAGTCACTCAGGCGGCTTAGCGAGTCGAACAGTGAAGGTACATTATATTAATAGTTAATACATGATTGCATTTGCTAATGAGTTATGTCTATTGTGAGTACATTCAAGTGCTATTAAAACAGGCAGGACCGGAGTAATGATTAGTATGATCCCTGTGGCCCATGCATGGTAAGTTAGGGAGGCGGATATATAAGATGTGGTTAACGAGTAAACTAACTTTGCTGGGTACACTGATTAACTCACATTAAGACTGCTTACGATAAACTATAATAATAGGGAAACGTGTATATATAAACAGAAGGACCCGTCACTTTTTAACATGGTAACCACTGCTTTGTAGTAAACTGGTAGCTATATTGCCCTCTGTGAGCAACGGGGTATCTAATGCAAATAACAAAGGTTTCAAGTCCCCTAGAGTCCCACTGCCTGTGCTTAAATAAAGGTAGACTACAGTGAGTTACTGATAAGGGTGTCACTGATGGGTGATCTACTGTCCCACTTTAACTGAGACAAACTGTAGGAAATATGCATCCAACAAAAGTTTGACTTAAGTGATACTTCACTCATCACCCTGTGCCATGACACAGATCACCCGATTCCCACGCTCGCCATTTGCGTCTCTATGCATATTGATAGCCCAGTCAGCCAGCTCTGACAACTCTGTCGGCCCAGGTCTCAAAAAGGGCCCATGTGCTTATCCCTCTGCTTTGGTTATTTCTGGCTCCATAAACAACTTAGCCCGTGAGGCAGTGGACTTGGCTTGGGGGCGCTGGTATTTCCTCCGGGGGTGTGAGACTTGCGCCGGGGAAGTTGCCCTTGTGGCCCTCAAACGGGGAGTGCAGCAATTGGCTACCAACCGCCTGGTACTTGGGTGAGCACGGTACACTCGAGACTTCCCCTTCTGTCTTCTCAGGCCCATATACGCTGTGGTTTTCTTTGGAGATGCATGTTTGCTAGAGGTGAGTAGTGTGAATGAGAACTCTGTTTATTCTCCCCATCATTGCCCAGTCGATTGTTAAGCTTCATCCAGAAATTCAAGAATATTGCATCCAGTCGCTTCATAGTTATCTCTAGCGGGCTTTGGGTGATGGGTGTCTGCAGTGCGTCCGCCATCTTAACTCAGGCAGCGTGGCAGGCCTCGTTTCCTCGGTATGGCTGCTGAGTTGCAACTCCACCTGTGGCTCAAGGATTTTTCTTATTCATAATTTTTTTATATTGATATTTTGCATTCTTGTATATAGAAAACAACTTACTCATTTTATGTATCGTTCAGTTGTATCAATCACACTTGTACATTTGGGGCAGTCAAAAAGTAAATTAAGTATCTTACGAAGAAAAAAAAATAGCTCGAGAGACAGAAATAGAAGAATATGTAATTTTGCTTGGTTACCTATGGCTCTGCCTATATATATATATATACAAAAGTGTCTCATTGACTGGAAAGTTCTAAATATATTTAACACACAGGATGATAATGGCTTTGAGCACTAAGCAGGTAGAACACTTTAGACTTACCAGGAAGGGTAAAAAAACATTTGTTGAGGTATTCATTGTTATTAGAAAATAGGTGGCAAACACAATATGGATTGCAACACAATCTTAATTAAAGGAATACTCCAAGCACCATAACTTCTAAAAGGCAATCTAGTGGTTATGGTGTCAGGAGTACCCTGGTGATCTCCAATGTAAGTAGTCAAACTGTTTTAGCATGGTTTGACTTCTTACCCGGGGTCCGCTGGGCACTGCTCCCTATCTCCACTGCAGCCTACATTAGAGACGGAAGCTGTCCGAGCTTAGCGTGGCAAGGCTGTGCTGAAACTCTCAGCCTATGAGCTGGTCTCTCACTGCCGGGCTGAGCTCAGGAGAGCTAGTGAAAGCTCTAAAGCAATTCCTTCCAGTTCTTGTGGTAGAAGACGCCAGGTAAGAAGTCATACCATTCTAAAACAGAATGTCTACTTACATTGGAGGGCAGGGGGGAGCACCAGGCCACTCCTGGAACCCTAACTACTGTAGTGTTTATGGTTTGCTGTAGTGTTTATGGTTTTTTGAATACTCCTTTAACTCAGCCCTCTGCGTGTTTCTGAAACAGGAGTCTAATCTGTAATTGTATTTTGAATGTAGAAATGTATTTGGTTACCTCCTCATTAATCTGTTATGAGGACATTCTATACGATTGGTATGTTTCCTAATGAACAGCAGATGCCATGCCTGTGTAGAGCTCTGGAGAGCCAAAAGTAACTTTATAGAGTGAAGTAAGCAATGCTCAATGAAGCTATTCTTGTTATAAGGTTATTTTTATAATTACAAAGCTGTCACTCCCTGTCCCCACTAGTCACCCAAAATGTTGATGCTTGTTTTTGTTTTATTTCTCTAATAAAACGTTAATATCTTAATCCGACTTATAGTTATAATAGCTGTGCACTATGTCCATTTAAAAAAGCAATTCTTCCATCCCTTAAACAATAGTATAGGCTCCGGTACAGAAGGATTCCACACAATATTTAAGGAACTGCTATTGTAATTGACTAATTGACTATTGTAATTGACTTAGGTGACAGGACAGTGTGCTAGAGCCTTCCTCGCCATTATCAGCATTACTGAATACACCAACAGACAGGCAAAATAAGTAATATTTAACAAAAAAATACAAAATATTAGAACTTTTATTGTATATTTCTTAAACAAAATAGCAGACCTTTGCTACACTATTAAAAACCTGGGTAAGACTTCACCAAACTGTATCTAAGCTCTAGATAAAAATAAGCGTAGGCGCCTTAGTAATGACGGCACCTATAAAAAAAACTGCAGATACTGTGAAAGTAGAACTGTGCAGGTACAAATGATCTATTATAAAATAAGCAAATAGCTCTAATACAATTTGAGTTCAATAGTTACATTTTAATTGCAAAAAGCAACATTATTAATATCATGAAAAATAATAGGTCATAATGGGTAAAAAAAAAAAAAATTTGCTCAATGCATTACAAAGCACTCCAACAGCAGGGGAGAATATTTAGTTTGCTTTTGGTCAGTGTTAAAAAAGAATAAATTAATTCCCTGAGATTTCATCCATAAACACTCTCTATATGTGTTCCATTTCTTTCCCTCTGTTTTGAGATCCAAATATATACCCTCATACGTCTAACATTAGGACCGACCCAGGAATATGGTGTGGATTACACCATGCACTAATAGATGATCATAGTCCTTCTGCTTTTATTATTCTCTGTGCCTGGGCTGCGTCCTATAATCCTGGGGTACAGCTCTGGCATTAGAGCAGGGAGTCCTACCTCCAATTATTTCTGATTAGCTGTAAAGACGTTTGTTGATTGGATTGGATGTTCTTTTGGCTAATCAGGTTGGAACGATTAAAGCAATCATGTTGGAAGATGGTCCCTAACATACAAGGCAGAAGGGAGATTTGCACAGTGAAGAGAAGCAGACTTCTTAAACCAGGACAGAAATACCCCAACTATCCAATGTGTTCAGGAAACCAGCATCTTCTCTGCAACATATTAGAGTCTCACACTCCACTTGCGGCAAGGTGTTTTTTGATCCACTTTCTCAGAGACTTGATGTTAGGATCCATACATTTCTTCTGGTTGCGGACATGGAGCCTGTTTGGAGATAAATAAAATGAAAGGATTCATTAAAATGAAACAGATTGATTCAACTCTATGTTTTCTCTACATTTGTTTAGGGAGCCATGGGGTTGTTCTTAAAATCTTTAATCCTAGTCAACATGTAAAATTTTAATGTAGTAGTTAAGTGTGGTTGGATGTTTTTTTGTGTGGGTGGGAAACATGTGGATTGTGCATTTTGGGCAGTGGGATTGTGAATTTGGTACAGCGGAATGAGAAGGATGGAGATTTAGGCACAATGTAAATAGGCTGCATGCAGATATTGGCATGCATGGGACGGATGTGGGTTTAGCTATGGCAGATATGGATTTAGGCATGGTGTGGTTAGATAGGATGTGGAATTGAATCATGGTGTGGATAGATAGGATGTGGAATTGAGTCATGGTGTGGGTAGATAGGATGTGGATTTGAGTCATGGTGTGGGTAGATAGGATGTGGATTTGAGTCATGGTGTGGGTAGATAGGATGTGGATTTGAGTCATGGTGTGGGTAGATAGGATGTGGATTTGAGTCATGGTGTGGGTAGTCATGGTGTGGGTAGAATAGGATGTGGATTTGAGTCATGGTGTGGGTAGATAGGATGTGGAATTGAGTCATGGTGTGGGTAGATAGGATGTGGATTTGAGTCAGGTGTGGGTATAGGATGTGGGCGTCGTATTGTGGGTAGATAGGATGTGGGTTTGAGTCACGGTGGGGGTAGATAGGATGTGTAATTGAGTCATGCTGTGGGTAGATAGGATGTGGAATTGAGTCATGGTGTGTGTAGATAGGATGTGGAATTGAGTCATGGTGTGGGTAGATAGGATGTGGATTTGAGTCATGGTGTGGGTAGATAGGATGTGGATTTGAGTCATGGTGTGGGTAAATAGGATGTGGATTTGAGTCAGTGTGTGGGTAGATAGGATGTGGAATTGAGTCATGGTGTGGGTAGATAGAATGTGGAATTGAGTCGTGGTGTGGGTAGATAGGATGTGGATTTGGGTCATGGTGTGGGTAATTAGGATGTGGATTTGAGTCATGGTTTGGGTAGATAGGATGTGGAATCGAGTCATGGTGTGGGTAGATAGGATGTGGAATCGAGTCATGGTGTGGGTAGATAGGATATGGAATTGAGTCATTGTGTGGGTAGATAGGATGTGGAATTGAGTCATGGTGTGGGTAGATAGGATGTGGATTTGAGTCATGGTGTAGGTAAATAGGATGTGGATTTGCGTCGTATTGTGGGTAGATAGGATGTGGGTTTGAGTCATGGTGGGGGTAGATAGGATGTGTAATTGAGTCATGGTGTGGGTAGATAGGATGTGGATTTGAGTCATGGTGTGTGTAGATAGGATGTGGAATTTAGTCATGGTGTGGGTAGATAGGATGTGGGTTTAAGTCATGGTGTGCGTAGATAGGATGTGGATTTGAGTCATGTTGTAGGTAGATAGGCTCTGGAATTGAGTCATGGTGTGGGTAGATAGGATGTGGATTTGAGTCATGGTGTGGGTAGATAGGATGTGGAATTGAGTCATGGTGTGGGTAGATAGGATATGGATTTGAGTCATGGTGTGGGTAGATAGGATGTGGAATTGAGAACAGTGAGGGTGAGGAAGAGGTGACCCTGACACATACATGCACATGCATATCAGTGTAGATCTAAACCCAACTACAGCTGTAGTATAGGACAGGGGTAAGCAACCTAAAGCACTCCAGATGTTTTGGACTACATCTCCCCTGATGCTTTGCCAGCATTATGGTTGTAAGAGCATTATGGGAGATGTAGTCCCTGGTATAGGATGTTAGTAATTGTTAATCTTCGCTACTGTGACAAAAGTAGCCATCAGTGGAATTCCCTGATACGTGGTGTTTTACCTGGCAATTTCTGCAGAAAACTGAATGAAATACTATAGCAACAAATTACTTATAAAGCAAATTTACACATGCCCTGGGGTTTTAGTAAAGGGAATTGGCATTACTATTACTCATTTTGATGGCCAAGTAAGGGTGAAGCGTAGAGTTGATTCAGAAGCCTTTTGATTTGTTACTATAGTTGAGACTATGAAGATATCCCATCTATAATTTTTAAGCAGTCCGTGATATATATATATATATATATATATATATATATATATATTTCTTTTAACAGGCAAAAAAAAAAAAAAAAACACGAAAGTGTATCAATTACACTGTTAATAGCTCCCAATTGATTGCTCTGCAAATGTAATTAATAAACACACCACCAAAAGTCTCCAGTAAATACTATTTTACCAATCTACTTCTCTACTCCTGTCCTTTTCTCCTACCTTTTGTGTCACTTTACTCCACTCCCTCTGTAAGCTCATTGAGCAAGGCCCTCAACCCCTCTGTTCCTGTACGTCCAACTTGTCGGGTTGCAATTACATGTTTGTTAGTCCACCCATTGTAAAGTGCTGTGAAATTTGTTGGAGCTATATAAATAATAACAAAAATAATAATAGTGTCATCCATGGATTAGTTTCTGTAATCCACGGTCTGACTGACACTGTGCAATATCCCAAATAATATTTAGTAAAGTTATAGTAAATTACTTATGAAACATTTAATTAAAATAAATACCTAAGGGGGAGTGGTTGACAGAGAAGCTGCACAGACGCGTGTTAGTGGAGCTGTACAGATGCTCTAGCACCACAATATAACAAACCTGGCGCAATAACTTGCACCCCCAAGAGACAAGATGGAGTTCAGAAATAAAAAACATCAGCATCCAGAAACATATTGGGCATAAGATTTTAGGCTCTCCTTCATGTCACCTACACCACCTGTGCCTCCAAAGATAGCGCCTGCAGCTCCTGCTGAATCAGAGGCCTCCGAGGACTCCCAGGAGGAAGAGAGATCCCTTGCCTCATCTGAGCCTGGAAAATTATACCAGTCCTCAGAATCTGATAACGATTCATCCCCATTGACGAAAGGGGACATAAAAAGGCTATTAACAGACCTCAAACAAGTCTGGAAAGAAGAACGAGAAGTATAGACAGAGATGGTTGTGGTACACCAAAAAGTAAGAGCAGTAGAAAAAAGGGAGGAAGTCAGAGATGGGTTGATCCATGAAAATAAAAACAAGATAACAGAGCTTACCTCACAGGTACAACAGCTAAGTCGAGTGGTGACCTCATTAGAAATGCCCAAATGAAATGCTAAATACAGACAGACTGCTAAGTACACAGACAGACTGCTAAATACACATACAGACAGACTGCCGAGCACACACACAAACTGCTTAATACACACACAGAGATGTTAATTAGTTCGGACAACTGTATGAGTTGTTTTTTCTAAACTTAAACCTCAGTATTCAGGTTTAAATGCCGTTTTGGCACTTTGAGGGGAAAAAATTGGCATGTATTACGGTTTGGGCACTCGGGCTCAAAAAGGTTCGCCATCACTGTTCTAGGTGATAAGAGGACACCAGTCCTGGTGGCTAGGCGGCTAGGAGAGGGCTCCATTAAATACCACTGGGGAGTGGAGGAATTACTTCAGGTGACACTTGGGGATGACATCCTCACGCTAACCTCATCAGATGACCCAGAGGTTTTCCTGAAGCTATTGGGCCTACCGACCGCACCACTGACAGAATACCAGCAACCCCAACTTCTCTGTACACTCATAGCTATATCTAGAAAACGGAAAAGGTGTATCTGTATAAACTCGAATAAAACACAATCTGAAAGAAAATTACCGAAATAATGTTTTAACATCTTAAATAATGTTTTAACCTGTTTCCTACCTCAGTGATCTGCTAAAACCACATTTAACTTCACTCTACATATTGAGACTAATTTTGTTTCTTGCCTTTTTCTTTGCTGTCTTTTGCAGTCACTTGTCTCTTGAGTTCCATACATGTACCATCTCTGACACGTACATTTTTAAAATTATTTAATATTATGAAAACTGATATATTTTTTACATATTATATATTTTTTATAATTTAATATTTTTGAAAAAATTCTTTAAAAAGTTTATCCAAAAATATTAAATCATTTGAAAATTTAATCAAAAATATGAAATCAAGGCCATAGTTAGAAAAAGTGCTTACTCCTAAAACTCCAAAAATTCTCAAAAAAGGTTCAGACGCACAAAGGTTAACATGTACAAAATGTTTTTTCTTTTGAAGCAAAATAAAATACATTGTTTGCACAAGTGTAAGACCGACACCATTATACTAACTTACTATATTAAAGGGACACTGTGGTGCTCCTTATTGTAATTGTTATGGTGTAAGGAGTATTTGAGTGCTGTCCTCCCAAGAGGGCGTCTCTTAGCAGTCAATGTGGCTACGGTGTTTAGAACGTTCCACCAATAAGAATTAATACAGTGTGTGTTTTATGAAGTCCCAGACATGTTGGGACCCGAGTTTTGAAATTCAATGTCTTACGCTTTGCTATATTAGAGATGTCGATCTACAATTAGTGTCACATGGACAGGCCCAGAACTGCTTTGCACTGCTTCATAAACATAACTGAATTCCAGTGAGAAAGTGATCAGATTTTATACTTTCCATTTGCATTCATCTTCTACACATAAACAGATGACAATGCCATGCCGGAAACTATTATTAGATTTTTATATGATATGACCACAACCCTTTAGTTTTGGAAGATAATAACCAATGAAGAAAGAATAAGCATAGACATTAAGAATTAAGTTTTTGGGGGGCGGGGCCTGACACTCAAGATGGCTGGACGCACATTCTGTTAGCCCCGGCCATACAAGCTTCATATACCGGCTATATCGCACTTTAGCAACGCAGACAACAATTGCTTTCAGCAGCTGGCCGTCCTTCACTAAGCCTGCACCGTCCGGTGCCCAGATAAACTCGGTCAGACAAGCACTCACCCCATGCTGGATCTGCAGCCTTGCAACCCGGGGAAAGAGGCCAATCTCCAGACCCGGTGAGCACTATCTACAGTCCAGTTACCTCCATTGACCGGCGAGGGATATCCCGGTCCGCACTGATCTGGCCACGGTTAGTAACAGACGGGCCTGCACTGAATCCCAGCCTCGTGCGTCCCAAGATGGCCACCATACGAGGACATGGTGAATGGCCTGTACTGACTGAATATGTGGGAGCAAGCACTCAGACATCAAAGAACAAGGCCTCTGACTCTACTGAGTTACCTGCACATAGCAGCAACATCGTGGTATCTCTGGAGGCTGTGTTTGCCAGTTTCTGGGCATGTTTGGAAGAGCTCTTGTCGGAGATCTTGTCCCACGGACCCAGCATGCTGGTCACTGCCACAAGGTGAGGCCTCACCCACGCAACCAGCGAGAGTCCCCAACAAGCTCGGGGAACAAGCGGCAGCCGTGGCTCGCTCATATCTGCAGATTTAGCACTCTTACAGAATCCACGCTGGGAAGGGCTGCTGGTGCACCCTGAGATGCTTCCAGGGCCTTACTCCCATGGTGGGCTACTGTGTGTCTCCTGGAGGAGCGGAGTGGACGTGCCCACACACTGGGAGCCAATGGAGCCCCCCGCTAAGACACGATGGACTTATGCATCCACCTGCCACTGGCCTCCCATCTCGGGACATAGGCTGAACTGCCCTCCACATGGACTGCAAGCACCACTCACGCAGCTATTAAGCTAGCAGATATCTATACCCATGACCCACATATGCTCCCACACCATACTGATGACACCACACACCTTTTAATTTGCATTATGTTTTAGTTTACCCTTGCATAGCTATACTGGGCAAATGACAGGCACCAGGATGTAATACGGCATAATCATATAGGCCTTAGCTTGTATCGCTTTACTTGTTTGCATGTCTTGCTATAACACTTACTCGTTAATTGACCCAATACTTTCAGTGGTTTTACCTCTTACACTCACATACAGCTTTCTGTTTTAACGTAGACAGTATGTAATGTAGAACTGTGTTCAACATATGTTTTCCTTTTTTTGTCCCTCCTCTGATTATCTCTCCTGCATTTTTTTTCTTGGGAAAAATAAATATACAAAAAAATGAGGTAGTTTCTGCATAGGAGTTTATGTCATTGTTGGCTTATACTGCACCCATGATATATTATGGCTAACTCCATTTCTTCCTTCTGTAAGAATAAATAAAATACAGATTGACAAAATCCATCCCAGCGTCTCCAAAAAATAAATAAAATTAAAATAAAAAAGAATTACGTTTTCACTACACTATTGTGTGCATAGTGATTATTTACAGGAAAACATGAAACATGTTTTAATCTAAAGCGTAATGATAGAAAGAACTTTGCAAAGTAACCTGGACTGATAACCTGTTGTACAGTATATCAATCTATTCTATTCTTCATTCTGATTTAAAATGAAAATTTCAAATTGAAGGTCAAAATAGTCAAAATGGAAACATTAATTAATGGTTTTGAATTTGAAATTCTCTCTGAATTCACTTTAAATTCTAACTTTGGTAAATAACCCTGTTAGACGTGTTTGCTATACACTGTTGTCAGTGATTGTCAGTAAGTGGAATATGCTTTTATTTAGTAGAAAAGATAAATCACTGCACCTCACCTTCCAAGACCTCACATTTTGGCATATGAAAACAAAATACTTTTGAAATTACAGATCATAAGATAAAAGAAGAGAAGCAAATTTTGGGCAGGCTTATGTATGATGTTTGAATCAGCCTCTACTTGTGCCTCCTTGGAGACAATCCTAGAATTTAAAATGCAGGAATTCAGTAAACAGGTCACACTCTAGTCTTGAAATGCATTTGCAAATCAGAAGCATTCAGTGTTTGCTAAAAAAAAGTGGGGAAAAAGAGCCAAGAAAAAGTTTAACCACTTAAGGACCAAACTTCTGGAATAAAAGGGAATCATAACATGTCACACATGTCATGTGTCCTTAAGGGGTTAAACAAATTGATCTCAAATTACTGCTTTTTTACATATTTAAAGTTCTCTGCTAGTAAAAAATCCAAATTATTTGTTAAAAAAAAAAAAAAAAAAACATTCTAAAAGGAAATGGGGTCCCCTCTGGCTCCCTACTAATAGGAGGTGGTTTCATGCCAAGCCTCTCTCCAATTCCATCACAGTATTTCCATATAGCCTTAGTACCCCAAAATATGAAAGACATAACCTTAAATCTTATTTGAGAATAGCAATTACAGACTTCAAGATGCACCACAAGGAATGTGTCTGGAATTCCCAAGCAGTTACCATTTGAAACACACCTCAGTGGAATGGCAGTTTTATATTTTTTGGCCGACAGCCACATTAAATCTATTGGGTGGCAAAAGGACCTGACTGATAATAAAAATCAAGAAACGTTTTTTTTGTGAACTGTGTCATCCCGTAGGTTTTTGTTTACTTCCATTGAGCACACAGATTCCCAATACGTTGATTTGCTCATGCTTGCATCTATGAACAGTCTTGAGAGATAATTATTAAAGGAATTATCAACTAATAAATCAGCTAGGGCAGTGATGGCGAACCTTTTTGAGCCAGAGTGCCCAAACCGTAATACATGCCAATTTTTTCCCCTCAAAGTGCCAAAACGGCATTTAAACCTGAATACTGAGGTTTAAGTTTAGAAAAAACAACTCATACAGTTGTCCGAACTAATTAACATCTCTGTGTGTGTATTAAGCAGTTTGTGTGTGTGCTCGGCAGTCTGTCTGTTTGTGTATTTAGCAGTCTGTCTGTGTACTTAGCAGTCTGTCTGTATTTAGCAGACTACTGAGTACACAGTCTGCTGAATACACACACAGACTGCTAAATACACACACACAGACTGCTAAATACACACACACAGACTGCTAAATACACACACACACAGACAGACTGCTGAGTGTACACACACAAACAGACTGCTGAGTGTACACACAGACAGACTGCTGAGTGTACACACACAGACAGACTGCTGAGTGTTCACACACTGCATTGAGGGGTACAGTGTATGTGTTTGTGGGTGGAGTGATGTGTGTGGGTGGGGTGTTTGTGTGTGGGGTGGTGTGTTTGTGTGTGGGGGGGGTGGTGTGTGTGTGTGTGTGTCTTTTTGTGGGGTGATATGTGTAGGGCAGGGGTGCTGTGTGTATGTCGTCCCCCCTCTCTGTCCCCCCCTCCTCCCATCCCCCCATCTCTCTCCCCTCAGTCTCCTTCCCCCCATCTCTCCCTCAGTCTCCTTCCCCCCATCTCTCCCTCAGTCTCCTTCCCCATCAGTCTCCTTCCCCCCATCTCTCCCTCAGTCTCCTCCTCCCCATCTCTCCCTCAGTCTCCTCCCCCCATCTCTCCTCAGTCCTCCACCCCACCTCTCCCTCGGTCTCCCTCCCCCCATCTCTCCTCGGTCTCCCCCCTCCTCTCCTCCCTCAGTCTCCCCCCCCCTCCTCCTCTCCCTCAGTCTCCCCCCCCCCAATCTCTCCCTCAGTCTCCTACCTTGTAGCGTGGCCGAGCGCTGCGGAGCTCAGTCTCCTGTACCCGGAGGACAGGAAGTGCTCTCTCTGTGAGCACTTCATTTCCGTCCGCCCAGGTACAGGAAACATAAGTTCCTGTACCGCGGTGTGCTTGGCCACGCTACACAGAGCGCCTGGCAGGAGGGAGCGCTCTGCGCTATGGACGCACCTCCTGCCGGTCACTCCGGCTTTGCGCCCGCCGGGCCGGTGCGCCCTAAGGCGGCCACTTGTGCCGCCTTATGGATGCGCCGGCGGAGCGCACGGCGACCTATGGCCGCGTGCCCACAGAGGGGGCGCGGCGTGCCACCGGTTCGCCACCACTGAGCTAGGGGAAGCAGTGACACTCTGTTATTCCATTCGTTGTTACAGAAGATTAAAATCTACTGCTACAGTCTTTGGTTTGGTTAGTTCTGTCTGGTTAGACTTCAGTGGTTAGGGTAGGAGAAGTTGAGTAACAACAACCTGTCAGACATATACCAGAACAAATAACCCTACAAATCTTCCTTGAGTATCTTTGTCATCTTCTTGTGTCGACAAAAAAAGGCAAAAGAGGTCGCCAACCACAAACGCGTTACCTTAGGAGTTTGCTAACTTCTCTGCAAAGTCCACCCAAATGTCAATCCAAGGTTCATCAGGAAACATTTACAACAAAACCTGAAGATGTCCGCAGGAAATTTTAAATGTAGAGCGGGCTAAAATGCTGCAAAGCTTGGAGCTTTCCAGATGATTCCATACTGTTAGAAACGCTTTAGAAAGGATTTATCTACATAACATTTTCATCAACTTTAATGGTGAATGCTGTTGATAAGTCATTTAGAAAATGTTTCTAACTGTATTGAATCATTTGGAAATCTTAATAAATCAATGACTATGTTGGAAATAATCAAATTTAATCCAAAATGGTTGGGCTACATTAACTGGCAGCACGTATACATTACTGTAACAGAAACCTTAAGGTCATAATACATTCAAACTGTAAAGAGATTCCTGAGGAAGTGTTTCACATTTTATATGACTGGAAGCTGACGTCATCCCCTTCACAGTCTGGCATCATTGTTAAATATATTCTTTTATTGGGAAGCGAACATGTACAGGGAGATAACGTAGCTGCTATAGTGCTTTGGTTGGACATTGCTGAGCCTTGTAGATAAGGAGCATAAAGTAAATGAGTTCTAAGACCAGGGTGCAAACTGGTGAGTACCAATAAGATGATTAAAAACTCCACACACATGGCAACGCACACATGTTTGATCAAACAGAGATCCTTTGGACTCTTTTTTTTCCCCTTGCCTGTTTTTTCCCCGTAGAAGCCATAGACAAGGAGTCTCCACCATAGTGGCTATTTTCACTGAGGGAGAGATGTTTTCCCTAAAATGTTTGAGTTGCTCACCGATACTCTGCAAATAAATAGGATTTCACTTGTGAGTACAGACTGTAATCTGTGCTTTTTTTCTTTTTTAATCTATATGATTTAGTGCTGATAGTCTATTAGTAACACTGGTGCCAAACTGCAATAGTGCTGGAAACTATTATTTACAACTAATGTTATCTTCTTTATTTTGTTGCCTTTCTGTTAGTTTTAGTGGATACACATGGCAAGGATAAGGCAAGGTCTACATAAACCCCAGAACATATAGGTTCGACAGTTTGTTAAACACTGCCCCATTCTTGGAGGGCAGTGCTTGTTACTCTGTTGTAATACCCATCGTCTGCTGCTGCCCTCTCTTTGCCGCAGTTTGTCCCACTTGGGGACACTGTCACAAGCAAATCAATACTGATGATGCTGACAGTCTAGCTTAGTGCCAGAACATCAGCGTCAATCCCTTGCTTAACACAGAAGAGATACCGCACTCAATTCCTGGAAACCACATGGTGCATGCCGTCTACTGAAGCAGGAGCTGCTAATATTTAGCATATGGTACATAGAAGAAGGGGCTTTAGGCACTCACAAGGTTGAAAGATAAAGCAGATTTATTAGATCAAAACAATGTTTCAAGGTCTTTGTTAAGCTAGTACCACATAAAAACAAAATGCATAATTATACACACATCGCATCATAAACCAATCAAAATAGAGCAACAAAGTAAGTTATTACTTGGCCCCTTGTGTCAATTTGCAGGAGAGAATTGGAGGTAGGTAATAAGATGCATCAAATACATATAATAAAAACGAAAAAAAGAACCAGCCCAGAGCACGTATGAAACACATACGGAGCATTTTAACCGAAGGTGGACGCAAGCAGAAATTCCTTCTGCTCTAAATGTGCAGGTACAAATAATACAATGTATTCAAATAATAAAATGGCGCAAGAATGTGCATGCGCAAAGCTCCTGACCCATACAGAGACCTCACAAAAGTGTGTCTGCCATATACACGAAGAAACAGGGAACAGCCCCTTTCTTGGTGAGCGCCTCAACTTAAAGGAAAAGGCGCAAAGCGCTTAAAGCTACTGGCGTGCATGGTTCCAACAAAGGAGAAAACACCTTCACCGGCCAACTCCTAGATTTAAAAAAGGGTTCCAGGGAACCACCAAATAAAGGACTACCCATGCCTATATCACAAGGGTGCACAAGACTCAAAATAAAACGGTGCATGCGCAGAATACAATCCTCTGCTTAAACCAACATTCCACAGGCATACAGGGCTAATGCTGAAGATTGATTGACATGTGGGGTATGGACCAAACTTTCAAAGGACATGAAATTAAAATGTATACATTTTCTAGCATTCCTTCTAGCACAATTTACATATGTTTTAATGTTGGATATGTCATGACAGGTACATTTTAATTTATTTTTCACACATCTCAAAATACATATTTGTTAAATATGGACAATATAGTAATCTTAATATTATACATTCCAGGACATTACAGTTCTCTATTAACCTTAGAAAAGGCATACCAGCTTCTATTTGTATCTTGAATAATCAACATCACAACTAAACAGAGAATATAGAAATACAAAAATAGCAATTTCGCATGAATCCTATAAAGCAGCGGTTCCCAGCTCTTTTTTTTTTTTTTTTACTTGTGTACCGATTGGCAGCTTATTTCCATAATGTGGCCTCATATATGAAAAATGTTTGCAATTAATACAGTTGCTTTTATTTCAAATGTATGCATTTTCTCTGCCCCATCTCTCCATTTTCTCTGCCCTAGGTTTCCTGCTTCTCTTCTGCCCAGACTCCCCTGCTCTTCCTCTGTTCCAGGCTCCCTTCCTCTTCCTCTGTTCTAGCCCCCTACCCTCTGATCTTCCTCTGTTCCAGGCTCCCTTCCTCTTCCTCTGTTCCAGGCTCCCTTATTCTTCCTCTGTTCCAGGCCCCCCCCGCTCTTCCTCTGTTCCAGTCTCCCCTGCTCTTCCTCTGTTCCAGACTCCCCTGCTCTTCCTCTGCTCAAGCTGCCCTGCTTCTCCTCTGCCCCAGGTTCCCCTTGCTTCTCCTCCACCCCAGACTCTTCTGTTCTTATTCTGCCCCAGGCTCCCCCTGCTTCTCCTCTGCACCAGGAATAAATGTATATATATATGTATATGTTTGTGTGGGTCAGTGTGTGTGTCTGTGTTTCTATATGTGTGTCACTGTTTGTTTCTGTATGTCTGTGTATCTGTATGTGTATCAGTGTGTGTATCAGTGTCTCTGTAACTATATGCATGTCAGTGTTTTTGTCTGTGTCTTTGTATCTGCATATGTGTCAGTGTGTGTCTGTGTATTTGCATGTGTGTTGTGTCAGTGTGTGTGTATATATATATTGATATATATATAAATATTTAGATACACACATATACGTACCACATGTTGAGAACTGCTGCCATGGATTTTTTTTATATAATTACAAAGTCCCCATGTGTCCATATACCACATGACCTTTTAAACACTTACACGATGGCTTGTAGATTGCAGATACCATCCTTCTTTTGGAAATGGACCTTGGTCACTTGCTGTAGCATGTTTTTGGGGATACGTTTGGCCAGCTGAGTGCAGCACGACATAAAATTATCCCGAAGTCCTGTGTAACAAAATGAAAATCGTTGAGAATGTAATAATAAAACTCACATATAAAACTCACATTATAGCAAATCTAGGATTTGTAGATTTTAGACCAAACCTGGACAGTTGCTTTGCCATGAGGAATGGTTTGGGAAAAATTGGCACAGAGAAACCCTTTACGTTTTTGTCTGAAAATAATTTATTCTTTAAATGGTTTCGTCAACAGAAAAATTCCATGCATCATCGTATAGCACTGTAAAAAACATCTATACCCTGGGTTGAAAATTCCCAGTCCGTAGAGAAGACGTGTGCCATAAAAAACAGTTAACTTTGGGCATTGTGGGCCCTGAGCATCATGAGAGCGATCAAAAAGCCATTCTCTGGCTAAGTAAGATTTGATCATGCCATAAGTGGTGCAGTAAATCGTCGTGACCAAATCATTCAATAGTGTCAGGGATAGGGTTATTCAGTAAAGTGAGAATTCAAAGTGAATTCATAGCTAATTTACAAGTTACTGGAAGTATAGCTGGCTTATATATATATTTTATATATATATATATATATATATATATATATATACTTTCCATTTTTAATGTGTTTTAATGTAACTTTTGTCTACATTTAATGTTTTCTATGAAGAATGTTTTAGAATAGACATGTTTACACTTGCTCTTTGTAGAATAACCCTGGGGTGCTTTTAAAAGCGTGGCACCGAAATATGAAATCTCTGTAGTAAAGGAATACAAATTAAGTTTTTGGATTTTAAATTAATAAATTAAAACTCATTTAAAATGATAATGTAGTTTTGGATTTAAGGTTAATAAAGACTCATAAAGTTCTATATATACTCGGTAACACCAGTGTCTAAGAGAGAAAAAACTGATTACAAAGATTGAATTGTAGGTAGTTTGTTAATGAAGTGCAATTAAAACAAAAATACATGAAAATGCAAAAATATACTCAGTTATCAGACCTGGAAAAACAACTATGTTGTCGGAAAAATGAACAAAAACCGCATTGATTATGTATAAATGTATAGCAATAATTAGGGAAACTGGGGAAAGAAATACAAAACTTGCAAGCTAAAGGTAAATAAAAAAATAATATGTAGCTAATATGAAAACTGACATAAAACATACAAAGAAGAAAAAAAATCTTTTCATTTCTTTTTTAAGTAATCTTACCATCAGAAGACTGTAGCAAGAGAAAGAGGATCAGAGCTGCAGTAACTAAGTGTTTTACAGATCGCATGTCGTGGTTTTGGATAGCAGATGATGAGCAGACGAGGGCTGGCTGCAGTTGTCAAGTCAGTGGTATAAAGTTGCAGAAGCAAATGGTTTTATACCTGCTGAGAGGCGACCCACCCTTTCGTAACTCGAGGGCCATTCCATTGCAAAGGGTGGGGAATTTCTGCTTTGCTTATTATAATGGAAACAGGTTCAAGGAAATTATAATCCTTACATTGTAAAACAAATGCTTATTTATAGGAAATTGTTAAAAGGGGTTTTTCGTTAATATTACTTTTTACATACTTTCTTCATACATGTTGGTGTTGTAACAAAAATAGACATTTATAGAATAACTCTCATAAATAGGTCACAGGTATACGTTTGATGCAAATTTAGTGTAAACAGCTTATTGAAAAATATTGATGTAAAGAAAAGCCATTTTAAAAGTACCATGAATGATCATTTTCCATACATAAGTCAAATTTACTGCTTGAGTTTGCAACTTTTGGGACAGTAGGTGATTTGGTAAGAGGTTGGTGGAGGAGTTAAGAGTTATAGCATCGGATTGGTCAGAATGGACCCTGTTTACGTTGAGATAAGTATACGTAATAGAGACATGTTTTAAAAAATGTTAGATGCTTAGAATGCTTGTAGTTTTTTTATCTTTTTCTGTTGTCATCTTTGACCATCTTTTTTTCCCTTTTCTCTTATCGGGGTTATCAAGGAAATGGTATTTATTTTTTAGTATTTAAAATAAAAGATTGCATTTATGACAGTATTGTATAAGTGAATGCTTCTTTACACTGTATCTATTAGCATACCCTTGCTGTCTGGAAGCCAACAGCTTTTAGTCCTCTTTTTTTGAAAGCCCAGAGCATCTGACCAAAAGACCAGTGCAGATAATCTAAAGAGCTGGCATGAATCCTGACATCATATACAAGCACCAAGCAGCCAAAAATACATTCTCGGGTGGTTTCAGACATTTAATTTATGCATGGTCCAATCAGATTAGTGATGCTTCTAACCTAGATGGCCTACTCCAAAGAGCAAAAGGAAAACGCACTAAAAAGATTATTAACCCCATTAAGGACACATGATGGAAATATTCCCTTTTATTCCAGAAGTTGTGTCCTTAAGGGGTTAAGTAATATTTAATTACAAATAAAACACAATAAAACTATATTACACGTAACATTTATTTTCACTGATAACGAATAATAACATTGTATATTTTCCAATATTGGGAAGTATTAAAGGGTTACTCAAGCCACCATGACCACTTCAGCTTCTAGAAACGCTGCACATACAGAGTATTCTGCACTTTTGAGCAAGGGGCTAGTTACACCTCTGGCACATGTGACTTATGCACCCCAGAACTATATCTATCATTAGCGCACAGGGATTTAATATTGTCACAGTACACAGTGAAGGCAGGCTGCAAACGTATAAAAACAAATACTTAACACCGTTATCTAGCCACAAAACCCAGCCCCATTATGTCCCTATCCCTATAAACACGGTCCTTATTAGGTACACACATTGTTTTTAGGTGTATCCAGTTCTATTCTGTATTCAGTGGCCTGCATCCATATCAAATCGCATGACTTCCGTTTCAGTGGGTCTACATATGACATGACGGAAAGTCCGGTTACTTGATATACCTGCAAACAATGTGGGAACCTAACATGGACCCTGTTTATAGGGAGAGGGACACTGCGGGGCTGGATCTGCACCAGAGGAAGGCATCCTTCCGAAATGCATCTTCCCAGGGGTGGCTTGCCAGCAGTGTTAAACATTTGTTGTTATACTATTTCAGTCTGCATCCACAGTGTACTGTGGCAGTACTAAGACCCTGTCTAGAGTTGTTTTGTATATTTAAGGATGGGCCTGTAGTTGTGGGAGGGGCTTGGGTCCCCTTCATGAGGGCATCCAGTCCTCTCCCACATTACTGTAGTTGGTCTGGCGACTTACACTCACACTCACCTGTATCCACGTGGTCCGGTCTCCTTGGTTGCTTCTCCGTTTTCTTTGCACTTGCCGACCGCTGGATTTTTCCTCCCTCGTGGTTTTGCTGTGCAGACGCTTCGCGGTGGTCCTGCTCCTTGCTGCTGACGGGCGTTTGTCTGTTTCGAGGGGTTCGTTCACTTGCCGGTGAATTGGCCTGACGGGATCTAATATCCCCCAACGTTTTGGCACCTCCTGGCTGCCTTTATCAAGGCCGCTTAGTGATTCTCGGAGCCGGATTGACGTCATATTCTGGCTCCCGGCATCCCTAAGCAGCACGCGAGGGAGCTGAGCAGGAAGAGCAGCTGCCCACCTTGGGGGGTGAGGGGGCCCTGAGGTTGCCAGCCGGCCAGCTCTTGGGTCACCCCATGAAATGAGGCTAACAGGGCATCTGCCAGGGCATTTGGGTGGCTGCGTTTTTTGTCGCCCCCATGAAACTGCCTCCCAAGGCAAATGCCTTGTTAGCCTCGCTGTAAATATAGCGCTGGAAAGGATACCCCATTTGTTCCTGCTGAATAGGCTGCCACAGATATGTAGTGAGCTTCTGCCATAAGATCGTGTGTATTTTTTCTAGCGAGAAGGGAAGGTTGGCATCCACTAAGGCGCGAGCTGTGGCAGTTGCAGTTTCTGCAATTTTAAGTGAGACACCTGGTCTGAATAGCGGTATAATGGTATCTGGGGGCTGCCGAGTCACTGTCATGGCAGGGGCCACAGGGTGTGGACTGGGATCACCCCCACCGATCCAGAGAGGCAGGGGGGGAACAGGGCCAGGTGAACACAGCTTTGAAAGTCCAGCTTGACACAGTCGGGCAGGATAGCAGGGTAGCGGCCTTCCACCCTACTCACCGCTTGAGTAGGCCTCATTCTAGGAAGACGACAAATATCCTCCCAAGGGACTAGAACAGAGTTTGCAAGCCTCGCCTCGGGACCAGTACTCCCTCATGTCCCCTGCTTCTGGCTGCCAGGTAGGAACAGGATCAGCTTTAATGGGCTGAAAAGTTGAAAGATTGTTGGAGCTGCTGTCTCGTGCATCCTTAATATAGACAGAGAACACACAGGCAAAAAAGAAACACATGCAAACATAAGCAGATATGCACTCATGCACAGAGATGTGCATGCAAATTAACACACAGATATGACAAACAAAGATACATTGAAGCACCATTGTCATCAGGCTAATACATAGAAACTCTTACACATATGCACACAGACCGACACAGACAAGCACACACATTAATCTGCATACAGACTCAGACACAGCTATACAGATGAAGAGCTGGGGGCCATGCATATAAGAGGTGACATAGCAATCTTGAGGCATAAAAGGAATTACTGCTTTAGGAAACCAGGAGTTGGCCCTGGAGGTTAAGAAAGTGTTGCTGTGAACAAGAGGTGATTAAGGGGCAGACAATTGGCTTGTTTAAACACCTTGAGATATGCAGAGTGAAATGATCTATCACTTCAATGAAAATTTGTGGGTTTTTTTTATTTGCTTATTCCTTCTCATTAAACGTCCTTTACGTTACAATATTCTGAAACAAACTTAACACACAGGTGAACACATTCACAAAAACATAATTAATTGAAAACTCAGTAGCAAAAGCTGAATTTTTAAATTTGATTTTCAATTCATTGCAAGTCCCCACATAGTGAGTAAACCCCAGTAACTTTGTTGTTGCTGCAATTGATTCTTTGTGAGTCAAGCTCCAGAGAGCGTTCCTTTCAGTAACTGCATGTAATATGTAAGGAGACATTTAAAGTATGCTTTTCACGATAACATCCAACTTATACTCAAATTGAAGATCATGATATTTCATCTACACTTTGGGCTAGCAGCATTAATAGCACGTTTACAGATTCTTAATTTAAAAATCAAAATTATTATATATTTTTTGCCATACAGAGCTATGCTGATGGAATAGAACAGCGGTGGCAAACCTATGGCACGGCGAGCCCTCTCTATGGTTGGCGCTGGTCGGCAGCCTTAGGCCCCCCGGTGGTAATGCAGAGTACGCACCTGCCTGCCCAAAATGGCAGGCACCTAATCTGCTTTCTTATTGTTGGTGGGTGGGATGCAGTGGTGAATCCAGTGGGGGCAACTACCCGCCCCTTGGTCAACAAGCGTTCCTCCCAACACTGGAAGGGGCACCCCATGTTCAGATCATTACTGAATAACTCTGAGCATGGGCTGTATGCCTTGACAGCACTCTACAGAGGGAAAGCATGTTTAATAGAACAATCACACTACACTGATTGGTGATAGTTTCCTGGTGCCCCTACTTACAGGACACTAGGCAACTAGGGCAGAACCTCGATTCTAAGAAGGCCTCTCCGATCAAAGGACAGTTGAATGGTACCCAGTTGGTTAGGAGGGTGTGGAGAGTAGGAGTAAACAAAGGGTGGGTCGTAAACATGCGTGGCATCCTCAAAGACTGGATCACAGGTTACTGTAGAGAGGATCTGTATTTAATTAATAGCACTTAATAAAGTATATAATTGTGACTATGGCCCCTGCAATAGAACTGGCTAATATACTCCAAACAGGCTCTGTTTGTGCAATTGGGACTATATGGTTTGTTTGCCGAACAACCGCACAAACTGAGACCACCCTGGAACTTGTTAACACCTATTAACAGCTTGAAACCTTTCTCACCTCATTGTTCTAATTGTTCATCTGGGTGGCCACGATTCCTATGAACAACCACAAGGTGGTGGCCATCTTGTTCGCATGAACGCAGGCAGCGGTGTTTGGGCATGAATCTCATGGAACTGAAATCGGACACAGAAACTCCCGAACACCACTGAACTTCCATCATCGACTGTGTTTGTTTCTATTCAGCTTAAAAGGGCACTGTTCAGTGAGGTAATTCGTCTAGATGAAGGGAACAAGCTCCAGGGTAAAACTATTGACTGCGTTCAGCAGTTTGTTCGTTTACAAACTACCGAACTAGACCGGCCGCAAGCCCTGATCCTCTGGAACTGTTTTGGGCATGAAGACATGCTTGCGACCGGTCAAAAAGAGACTTCCATGAAACTTTTGAACCCCTGCTCTGATCTGGGTGATATTTGGATATGTTGTTCACCCAGATCAGGGCTATCCAGGGATGTTTTATGTTTTGGGGTACTTTTGGAACTTTGTGAAAATGTGTTTTTTCTGCCTGGAGATAATTGAGTTACTTACAGGACTTTGCAAAACAATATAGAGAAATACCAGCGTTTATTTGTTAAAATATCAATGTGTCTATACACCAAATCTTTCTTATTAGCTGCTATACATCCAAGTGATCCTTTACCTTATCACCAATACCAGATGCAAAACAAGAAAAATGATGTAGCGTTTTAGATAGTGACATAATTCATAAATCACCTTTTTAGTTTTAGCATGGAGGCGAACACAATTAGGAGGCAGACTTTTCTGATATATTCAGTATATACAAGAACCTATAAAAAATAATTCAACATAGTATAGATCATACACAATCTGGTAATCAATTTCAATTGTAGTGTGTATACACTCACAAACGGAGAGCTATAGACCCAGCTCTGGTTTGAATCGTCTCCGGGTCCATTTAGGCGACCCATCCCTATTGCCGGTGTAGATCTTATTCCCTGGGGAAGATGAGAAATACAAACGATTGCGCAGTATTGACAGTAGTATTTCTAGTGTAAAATAAAGAATCCCAAGTGGGTACTTACAAATCTGGAGTCATACAGCAATGACTCAATTCTGAGGTGTTGTGCAGATTAGGGACTGCACTCCCTTCTGTTCTGGACTCAAAAGCTGGGAATTACCAACAGACAGCTCTATCAAAATGACCCACGAGTCCGGAGCAGCCTGCCCCCACCATCAGCTCTCAGCAGGCTGCGACTCCCCAAGCCGCTTGGGCACTTCCTTCCAATTCTCTTCGTTTGCCAGGACTACCAGACTGTAGTCCCGCATTCAGGATATCCAACCCTATCAGGGAGAGGTGTACCCCATCCTTACGCATCAGGTTGGAGTTGTCCCCCTCCAGTTCTTTGTGCCTAACGACAAACCTGCCAATGTGGCGAACAAATTTTCCAATGGCCACATTTAGCTTGCGCCAACTACGCTCCACGCCCTTCGCATGAGGAAGCGTACGCCAACACGGCCTGGACACTATGTCCGACCAAATAAGGGTCAACTCGGGGAAGAGGGCCATACAACGAGCCAGATCATGCCTAATTGCATGCAGGAGGTCCACTGACCTGCTGCGCCCTAGATCATTACCCCCTGCATGAATAACTAGAGTCACTGGCCCCGACACGTACCTACGAAGGGATACACACTCAGAATACACCTGCTGCCATAACATACCTCTAATGCCCCTCCACCTTACCCTAGCTATACCGTAGGGAAACCCCAAATTTCTCCCATAGGGACGCTCCTCAGCTCGCCGCGCTGCCCAATACACGAATGAATGTCCCAATATCCAAATGCAGCAGGGCCGAGGACATACGGAGAAAATGCATTAAAATAAATGAGGTCTGACATAGGACCTGTAGCGGTTTGAACCCCATCTACCCTGAATCGCTGCATCCACAAACTAGCCTGGGTGACTGCCCCTATCCGAAAAGAATGAGCCGAGTACTAGCGAGGATTTACCCCGCACTCAGCCAGCGCAGCACGGAACCTGGCCGAGAACTGGTAGCGCGTGAGGGGGGACCCATCCCTATGAACCAGAAAGGAGAGACACCTCACCGGCTTAATCTGCAAATAATCCAAGAAAAAACAGACCGGACAAAACACACCACCCGTAGCGCCGATACATACCCATGAACCCCTACCTACCTGGTCCATCTTGGAAAGTCTGATGAACACATCTACATAGTCTTTGGACCACCGGATATCCGTCAGCAAAAGTGGGCCGACCGCCCTTCGGTTGCGTGCAACCAATTCGCCCACCCGAAAAGCTCCAAAAAAACAGAATGCAAATGAAACCCAAAATAATGAGGCTTCGTAGTCCGAGAAGCAAACCGCCCCCGAGGCCGACTGGATCCGCCCCTGGAAGTCGGCTGACACCGGGCGGCGGCAGTCTGGAGCCCTTCTACGTCTCCAACCCCGGATAACTCACGGATACCAAACCCCGTGAAACGTCTTGCCAGCCCATAAACCTACACAGGAAAGATAGAGCGGTCAATGACTTTTCGGTCGCAGAGCAGGACTTACCCTGTGCAAGCATCGTCTGAGTCGCCTCCAATCGGCCAGACTCCGACCCCAGCACCAGGCCCTGCAACAACGAGGACAGCCATGTCCGCCAGACGGCTTGATATGCCTTCCACGAAGAGTCAGATAAGGAGCCCGACACCAAGCTTCTCAATCCTCCAAATCGATCTCCCATAAGGAAACCGGACATCTGATACCCACTGCCTCCGCAGCTGGTGCCGACTCCCGAAAACGGTCCCACTGAAACCGAGAAAGAGAGTCAGTTACCACATTATGAACACCCGGGACATGACATGCTTTTATCCAAATATTACATTTTAAGGAAAAGAGGACCAACTGGCGCAGGAGTGCAAGAACTGGAGGGGAAGGAACTGGAGGAGGAGCGGTTTATCACATGGATGACACTCATGTTGTCAGTGTGAAAAACCACTGTCTTGTTGCCAAGAGCCTCCCCACAGAGCTCCAAGGAGACCACAATGGGAAACAGCTCTAAAAACATCAGATTTCGCATCACGTCCAAGCCCAGCCATTTTGCTGGCCATGCCTCCGTGCACCATTTGCCCTGGAAGTACGCCCCAAACTCCAAGGTGCTGGACGTGTCTGTGAAGAGGTTAAACTCTGAGTTAGACGCAGCCTCAGCAACCAGCAGGAGCGACCATTGTAGTGCTCCAAAAAGGAGCTCCACACCTGAAGGTCCGCACACAAACGCCGTGTGACCCGGATAAAATGAAAGGGCTCCCGAACCCCTACCGTGGACAGAGAAAGGCACCTGCAGAAACCCGCCCCATGGGAAGAACTCGGCACGCAAAGGCCAAGTGCCCCAGAAGCACCTGTATTTGTCGCAACTGTACCTTCCTTGCCCCACTAACCAGGTCAACCAGTTGCAAGAGGACCGACAATTTGTCTTTCGGCAGACGGAAAACCATACCGACAGAGTCGATCTCTATCCCTAGAAACGACAGAACCTGAACCGGGCCCACTGTTTTAGCCTCCGCAACGGGGATCCAGATATACCCCATGACTGCCCGAAACGCCTGTAAGAGCCGCTCACACTCACCCGAACCCGGTGGGCTGACGAATAGAAAGTCATTATGAGTAGCCGATGCCAAACTGTCAGGATTACTGTTTGATCCAGCACGTAGAACTGTACAGCACGGATGACAAATAAGTAACGTATTACCGGTCCTTAGAATGGCCGGATTTAACGTACAAAGAATAGTCAAAAATACTAGCCGAGGTCAGGGAACACAGAAAGGGACACAGCGATGAGGAAAGCCAGGAGTCAGGATACCAGAATATAGAGAAGTCAATAAACAAAGCCAAAGTCAAAAACCAGGTAGAAAACTATAAACAGGAACGCGCTCTCAGACAACCACAAGGGAAACCACGACAGGGCACTGAGCAGGCTGAGAACTGGGCCTAAATACCCCTCCTTTAGTTCTGATAGGCTGTAACCGGCCTTTGACCCCAAAGTCAGTTACCAGGTTTCATTTGCATAATTGCTGCTCAGCATTAACCCTTCTGTGGATTAGGTTGCTGCTCGGCACAACTTTTCCTGTGTGGACAGTAAATGTCATTAATCACTTTTCTCTAAGCGGATGAATACATGACACCAGGTTTCATTTGCACAATTACTGCTCAGCATTAACCCTTCTGTGGATTAGGTTGCTGCTCGGCACAACTTTTCCTGTGTGGACAGTAAATGTCATTAACCACATTTCTATAAGCGGATGAATATGTGACACAAACCCGCCTCCTGTATCGTAACCCATTCCAGAAAACACGAAAACATTTCGAAATAAAAACAAGAAATTGAACACATGGGTAAACACATGTCGTAGTAAAAAAAAAAAAACGGAAAGAACAGCCTAACAGGTGAAAACAGGAGTGGTGAACAGGCAAAAGACATAAAGCTGATGCGATGTCTGATTTTGTCAACAAAGTACCTTGACCGGCACGACGAACCAACTCCAAAGCCCTGTCGAATGACGCGTATCGCACGCGACAAATGTTCTTTCCAATGGCATCATTTACAGACCCACCCGACGGATAGGACAGGTGCTGGATCAACCGAAAGGAACTCGGTTCCTTTTTGGGAACCAGGCCCAGAGGGGAGATGCATAAATTAGAAAAAGGTGGAACAGTAAATGGGCCAGCCATGCGTCCCGCCTGCACCTCAACATGCAACTTTTCTTGCAAAATCTCTTCCTTGCCCTTAACCGAGCGGAGATTGTCCGCAAACTGAGGCAAGGAAGAGGGAACAAAAGGGATCCAGAAACCCACCTGAAAACCGTCTAACAAGATCTGTGCATCGCGAACTCTATGATACGGGGCGAGCCAAGGGCACATCCTTAGGACGTCCACCGGCGTCCTCTCCCCTAGGTACGTCGTCTCGAGAGGGACCCTTTCCGGACACCGGCTTCCCCTTTCTGAAGCAGCGCACAGCTGGGTGCGCTCCCCCGCAGTGTGCACAATCGTGGCAAAACCTACAGGAGCCGTACCAGCGGCAGTGGCTCTCGTTAAAGAGCCAGCACACACCTTTCTTTTGCCCTGCAGTGGAGCTGGAGGTCCCTCCGGCAGGCCCGGGAATGGGAGTCATAATTAACAGCCAGAGACTACCATCCTGAACGCCAAAATCCATACCTGGGCACACCGCCACTTTTTTTTACGAAATTGCTGGTCATACCTAGATTAGGTCTGGGTAGCCAAATAGTGAAGGGGCCTTGTCAGGGAAACGGCGCACCAGGATGCTGGAGAAAACATTAAAACCTTGCAACCAGTTGCCAAAGGTCCTGGGGATATGCTTACCCTTATCCGCCTCTGGGACTTCACCCTGGCGCGGTCTGTCCACAGAATCCTTGTCGGGAGAGACCAAGGACAGCAGATCCACGTACTCACCTCTCCAAATTTTTTCTTGGATATCCTGCGGAACATGCAACCCCAAAGGAGCCAGCTCACATCCCACGGTACCCGCGCGGAATGTCCCATGCGGCCGGCTGACCCCTTGGAACCTGAACCCATGGATCCTGAACGGAATGTAAGGTTCCTACATGTAGCCCTGCACTGTGAGCCTGCTATCCTGCCCTGCGCTGTGAGCCTGCCATCCTGCCCTATGGAGTCCCTACTCCCAGTAAGCTCCTGTGGAAACCTATCCACTAGGGTCCTAAGCAGGCGCAACCACTCCCCTGGATGCTCTAGGGCACCAGCGCCGGTGCAAGTCAACTCACCGAACCGCTGTGGAACCGCAGGCACAGCTCCTTTTCCTCTGATATAGACTCTGACCTGGATCTTCTCTGGTTGTCAATTGCAGGACCTGAGTTGCTCTCCAAGTTAATGCTTCCAAATCCGGCTGCCTGGGGTGATGGGAGTGCCTCCTACTGGGTGTCCAGCTGTCTCCTCTCCTTCCTGCTGACCTCCCTCTGCGTCCAGCGCCCTGGGGAGGCAGAGACATGCCCAGGGCGCCGACGGTGCACCTCACTTCCGGGTTCGCCGACTGATGACGTCCGGCGCCCTGACGTCCGACACGTTCAAGGGCGCCGTAACTTACCGTCATTTCCGGCGTCCTCTGTCTTCCCGCCATTTGGACCAGAAGAGACTGCTGGCTCCTGGATCTCACCGCCACACCGCCATCTTGTCCCTCAACGATGTCGCCATTATCCGACCTCCGGCTCTTCCCCGAACTGGTGAAGTCCTGGCAGTGAGGATCCGCTCCCCTTGCTGCCGACCACGCCGTCTGGCCACCGGACTCGGTGACAAGTGCTTAGGAGGCCTGGAACCACCCTCAGGCACATCTTCCACCGTCTCCGACCTCGTAGCTGACGCCGGTCGGGCCTCAATACCGGCGATCACCTCATCCAACGATCCGGCTCCATGGGACTCCAGGTACGCCTGTAACAAGGCTACAACCGCATCTCTGGACACCGCGGCCATTCTGCCGATACTAGCTAAGTACTCAAGGAAGATTTTAAACGGAGTGAAAATAGCTAATTGAGCTATCTAATTACTATATGCTGAATATAATTTTATTTATTAAGTTTATTACAGTCCCTGGGGAAGCTAGCAACACTATACCTCTGCCCGGGAACTGGTGAGTACCCTCCCCTTTCTCCCCTTCTTAATGTACCCAGGGTGCCACAATGTATCCCCTTATGAACCAACCCCTTATCCCTGCCAGCAGTCATGTCCTCCCTTCCTTATGTTTCCAGGGAGGTACTTTCATGAAGTTTCGGCTCATGTTTGGGGGATTGGAGAACTACACTCTGGGGGATTGCTATAATCGCTATACTCCCCTGAGTATAATCACTAAGCTTTTGTAAGAGCTTGTTTCTGCTACGCTCTCTGGACTAAGAGAGGTCTACCCACTGGAAGCTGGATCCTGGTCATATGTCCAGGGTGGGTAGGAGACGGCGAGATCCCAACCAAGCTGCGGCAGTTTGTGGGGTTTGCAGTAGTTATGGTGTTCCAGTGCAGTGCTTATAGTACTCGTTAGTACTAGGAAGCAGTGATAGACGGAGGTACCCGGTTAGGGTTCCAGGGGGTCCGTCACAATCTATTCTTTCATTAAAGATGAGCAAGCATTTAATGTGAGCGTGTGGTGACTGGTTAACTTTAAAGACTGTTCTTTTGTTTGGTTACACTCTGTTGCAACTTGTTCATCTGGGAATTACAGCTCTGTGACGTTATATATTTTTATTACCATAAACTAAAGAATTTTACAACATATCTGACTATAAATTATTACAATTGGCTTAGACTAACAGATAGATATACTTAAATCAGTTTCCTTTTTATGAAAGCAGCATAAATTTCCTCCTGTTTAAAACAAATGCCAGTGGCTAGCGATAAATAATATATACAACTCTTTAAATGGAAAGAAAAATATATTTCTAGCAAGAACATATTTATATATTAGAAATCACTAGTCACTGAGCAACCCTCAAAAATAATTCACAACCAACCTCCCTTCCCTGTTCATTTATGCATTCGAGGTTATCCCTGGGTTTCTTGCAAAAAAAGTCTCTCACAAAACTGAAGGACAACCAACATTTTAAGACAATTAACAAAATGAAAACGAAAAAGGCCAGGATAAAGGTACTGTTCTGCATCTACACTAGAAAACATGTATAATATCTGTGAATAATAAATTTGAACAACTTACTCCTTCATATCGAACATCTTCAGCATGTCACCACCGACAGTATAAACAAAAATAAATACTGATCAATAGGATGAAGCAATAAAGACACTGTAGTGCTATCCATTAAGGAATTTGGCAGGAGACCTTCAGGGGCAACTGACTGACCTTTGACTTACGATGCTTGTTTCCTCCCAGATGTCACCCCGAGGCCTAGACATCTTCTTTACTGCTATGCAACCTGACCCACCAAGTAGAAGACCATTAAAATTGTGGAAGGCACATTAACTTTGTAGAGCTGGATCCCCTGGAGGATCTATTTGCCATGCATGCAGTCGTTTTTGATACTTAAGGGGCAGAACTTATATTCTATTTATTACGTTTCCAATCACGGACTTAGGAAAAAAAGCACAGGCCAGTTGAAGGCTGCCTGAACATTGGGTACATGAAAATAGGAAGGTCTCTTCACTAAGTGCTGAAAGGCAGCTGAACTCCTTTTTTGTTGTCCATTCAGCAATTCGCATATGGAAAATTCATATTTTTCAGTTGTAATTGCACTTTGCGTTATGCTATAATTTGATTAGCTGTTGAAGTCTGCTGAATCTATATAGTAAAGTAAAGCAGGTAATAAGAGGTTTCCCAAAAACAAATGCCAAATTAACTTATAAACAGATAAGATTCCTATTTAAAGCATACAGAAAAAATATAGGTAGACTCAAAATCTCTAAATTATTTGTGATCTTCAGTAATCAGGAACACATGAAAACCAAAAATAACAACACTATAGTTCTCTCTCTGTAAAATGTAGTTGCCAATGACATCAAGACGTACATGGACTGAGCAAGAGACAGCATGGAATTAGGAGAACCACGTACACCAGGGGTGTACCTAGGGCATGTGGCACCCGGGGCGGATCCTGGGTTTGGCACCCCCTCCCCCCGCAACCCCCTTCTCCAAAAAAAAAAAAACCTACTAAATTTTTTAAGTGTTATATTTTTAACATTTTTTCAAAAAATTTATTGAACAAATTTGTCAACTTTTTAAAACCCCTGCCCCCCTCTACAAAATCCCTGCACCCCCTCACACACAGTTACAGGCAGACAGTCACACACAGCTACAGGCAGACAGTCACACACAGTTACAAGCAGTCACACGCACACAGTCACCTGCAGACAGTCACACATATAGTCACAGGCAGTCATACACACAGTTACAGGTAGAGAGTTACACACAAACACAGTCAGTTACAAGCAGTTACACACAGTCACGCACACTGTTACAGGCAGACAGTCACATATACAGTCACACACACGGTCACAGGCAGACAGTCATACACATAGTTACAGCCACAAACACACACAGTTACAGACAGTTACACACACAGTCAGTTACAGGCAGCCACGCACAAAGTTACATGCAGACATGCACAGGCAGACAGTAACACACAGTTACAGGCAGCATCACACAGTCACAGGCAGACTGTCACACACAGTTACAGACAGTCACACACACACAGTTACAGGCAGCAGTCAAACACACACACACACACACACACACACAGTTACAGGTAGACAGGTACGCACACACACACGCAGAGTTTCAGGCAGTTACACACACACACAGTTTCAGGCAGTTACACACACACACACAGTTGCAGGCAGTTACACACACACACACACACACACACAGTTGCAGGCAGTTACACACACACACACACACACACACACACACACAGTTGCAGGCAGTTACACACACACACACACAGTTGCAGGCAGTTACACACACACACAGTTTCAGGCAGTTACACACACACACACACACACACACAGTTTCAGGCAGTTACACACACACACACAGTTTCAGACAGTTACACACACACACTGTTATACTTACAGACAGTGTGGGCTGGAGGAGTGGATTCCCTGGCCTGTAGTCCTTCCCTGGCTGGAGGTGGAGGTGCAGGGATTTCTTCACCTCCATGTGCAGCAGTTACAGTAGCTTGCAAAGGCTGTGTTAAGCCCCGCCCCCGCTCACAGTTAGGCTCCGTCCCTAAATGGCAGTAGCCCCGCCCCTTCCTCCTGTGCGGCCAGTTCATGTTGCTGGTCTCCGTGTGAGCTGTGTGACACCCCAGCTGCCATGGGGCACAACTCACACAGCCCCTTCCAGCCCCAAGACCAGGGTCATGGCACCCACCTTACAGGTGGCACCCGGGGCGGACCGCCCCCTCCGCCCCGCCCTTAGTCCGCCACTGACGTACACTATCAGGGTTATTCACAGACTAGGATGAGATTGTTTGGGGCATGAGATGAGAGAAGGGGGGCATGAAGCAGAGAGGTGGAAATGTGGAGGTTGTTGGTCGTTGAGATAAATCAAATATGCATGTGAGCAAGACTAATTCCGTGATCAGGGTCAAATAAAGTATGAAACTGACTGTCTGAGAAAGAAAAGGTTGTTTCGCTAAAGTGAGAATTCAAATTGAATTTCAAATTTAAGTCAAAATAGCCAAACTGGAAAAACTCTAAAAGCCAGCTGTGCATTTAATTTTATAACATGACAGGAGGCTTCATATTTTGCATTGACTTTCTTTACTAGCTCCATAGCAGCAAAGAAAAAACTGTTAAAGAAAGAACAGAGTGAAACAGAGAATATATAAATCCACGCATAGCCCATCATTTCCTCTTTCTTTGCTGCTCCATCACAAGTCAGGTCAGACTTGTAATTTCATGTTATATTTGTTTAATGTACTGGTTAGTTCTTACATTGGGGGTGGTAGGGGCTCCCTTAATTTGGGTGGGGCAGGGTTAATTTGTGCGGGGTTATTAGCATGTTGTATCTGGTTTCCCAGGGTTTCCCCTCTGAGGCAATCTGCCGGGACCCTTTCATTACACACTCTCCCCCCTAATCCCCCTCTGTGTTCGCTATGTTCGCCACTTACTATACCTGTTGCCCACACTGTTCATCCAGGCTACTGTGTGAACAGATCAGGGCAACTTGGGAGGCAGCGCTCACGTCCTTCTCTAAACCCGGAGGGCTGCCTTTGTAAAGTCGCCCTCACAGCGCTGTCTCTCCTCTGTTCGTGCGTTACACAAAGCACGAACTGAGGTTTCCCTGGCAACCCTGTACGCCGCATTCGGTACGCGAACAGGGGAGACACTTCTATGTATTCGCGTTCAGCAGTTTGTTCAAACAAACTTGCCGAACGCAGTCATACTCACACTTCCCCCAGCTAATTACTCCCGGGCTTTTAAAGTGACAGGGCTCGCGAGAATCGCGGTGACCATCTTGTTGGTGTTGTGGTTACGGTGGAAGAGCCTGCAGCAAGTGAGAGCTCCTGTTCTGACACAGATCATTATTCTTGTAAATGTGAGTGTTACGTTTTTTGTATTAAAGGGACCTGTGCATTTGGGTATATTAACCCTTAGGGAGTGGGACTGCCAGTCAGTTTTAAACGAGTATTCTGGCAAGGGGTGAGCGCCCATATCAGTGCTGCCTACTGGAATTTGCTATAGCAGTTCCGTTTCCCTGGGTGAGCCCCAGTGAGAGTCCGCTTTTCACGCTATTAA